CACCGCCCGGGCAACAAAGGAGTGGCTCCGTAAGAAGCATTTGAAAGTCCTGGAGTGGCCTAGCCAGTCTCCAGACCTCAACCCCATAGAAAATCTGTGGCGGGAGTTGAAAGTCCGTGTTGCTCGGCGACAGCCCCAAAACATCACTGCTCTCGAGAAGATCTGCATGGAGGAATGGGCCAAAATACCAGCTACTGTGTGTGCAAACCTGGTGAAGACCTATAGTAAAAGTTTGACCTCTGTTATTGCCAACAAAGGTTATGTTACAAAGTATTGAGTTGTATTTTTGTTATTGACCAAATACTTATTTTCCACCCTGATTTACGAATAAATTCTTTACAAATCCTAACATGTGGATTCATGGATTTTTTTTTTCACATTCTGTCTCTCACAGTTGAAGTGTACCTCTGGTGCAAATTACTGACCTCTGTCATCATTTTAGGTGGGGGAACTTGCACAATCGGTGGCTGGCTAAATACTTTTTTGCCCCACTGTATGTGCTTTCTGTGTAGAGGAGTTTTTTTGTTTCCTGTTCTCATGCTGTCCTCCTATAGCCCAGCATGAGCAGAGGTCTCTTTTTTTCCTCTTGTACTTTCCCATTGTAGTGTATATTTCAGTGTTTTTTTCTGTAATGCAACCGCTCTCTGACTTGTATCCCCATGTGATGTCTGTGTTGTCTGTGTATGGTCGGGGGGCGGGTTCATTCCACTGCAGGGCAACCTGCCACTGCATGTGGCGAATAAAATTTGAACTTGAACTTGAACTTAAAATCTGGGTGAAAATCAAATCTCAGGATGTGCCACAAGTAAATAATCAGTGGACAAACGCATCAAGTTCACCAGGGAGGATGTGAAAAATGACAGGCTACCCCAGGGGTCGGCAACCTGCGGCTCCGGAGTTGCATGCGGCTCTTTAGTCCTTATAGTGTGGCTTCGCGTGGTTTGGGAAAATAAATTAGAAGTAATTAGCTGAAGTGTATTTTATTTATGTTAGTTATTTTTTTTAACTTGTAGATCTAAATTGGAAGATTATTGCGACATTGAAATATAAAAATAAAATTATATTTTATTATTTTGTTCATCGCTCAAAATAAGCGTCACACTCGCAGAAGCCGGTGTACCCGCCGAAACGCCGTGCAATTATCGAGACTTTCAGCCCCAGGTAGGCCAGTTATGGATCTTCGGATCCACATTATGTCAGCAGCTATTCTCCACCATGAACTATGTTAAAAACAAACACCGCTCACGCCTCACAGATGACAGTTTACAGTCCTGAGTAAAGATGAAAGTACAGCCCCGATTTGCAGACGCTGTGCGCAGAGGTTCAGGAGCAGAAGTCGCATTGTAAACATACCACGGCAGACCCGACGATGTTTCCATGAACATGCTTTTCAGCATCTCTTTATTGACCACTTTTCACACATGGTTGCTGTACGCATACAGCCGGCTGTAGCTTTTCAGCTCACAGCCCGACACATACCAACAACAGCATAGATAGCACAGACGTAAACGAGGCGAGGCGTGATTGCGGGTGCCGCTCAGGTGCGTCCGCCTCCCCTGCAGCGGTGCTGCAGACCACGCCCGCCACACACATTAACCTGGTAAAATACATATTTAGGCAGTATTTTTCATCTTTTAGCAGCATAGTGCTTTTTTTCCAATTATTTTTTTAAAAGTCAGGTCAAGGCTCCCATAGTACCGGTATGTCAATGTCAAAAAGTATTTGCGGCTCCCAGTGTTTTCTTTTGTGTGGAAACCGGGTCCAAGTGGCTCTTTGGGTCTTAAAGGTTGCTGACCCCTGGGCTACCCTGTCAGTAATGGGGGACATTTAAAGTTGATGTGTACCGATGCATACGGATCAGTATTTAAGGTTTGACTCTCATCATCCACTGGAGCATAAACTGGGTGTCATCAGGATGCTACAACACAGAGCGAACACCATCCGCACAGATACAGCGGCCAGCAAAGCCGAAAAACATCATATCAATAAGACCCTGAGTAAATGTGGTTATCCCAGCTGGGCATTTGTCAAAGCTGGGAAAGCTCATAGAGAATGCTCCAAGTGATCCAGGAGAGAGGACAACTGCTGCCTAAGCAAAAACCTCTAGTGATCCCATGTGTCAGGAGTATCAGAATAGCTGAGACACATTTTCTCTAAACACCAGGTCTCTGTGGCTTTCAAACCCCAAAATGTGCTGCTTCAAAAGTTGGTCCACCCACAAAAAGAGTAATATAGTGTACGCTGTTAAGTGCCAGGAGGATTGGCAGGATTTATACATCGGGGAAACCAAACAACCTCTGGCTAAGCGGATGGCACAACACAGAAGAGCCACCTCGTCAGGCCAGGACTCTGCAGTCTATTTACACCTACTGGTTTGAGTGGGGAGTCAAGGAAGCCATTTATTTCAAAAGGGAAAGACCATTTCTGAATCAAGGAGGGGGCCTAAGGGCACATCTTTCATTATCCTACAATGCTGTGATTGCAGCCATTCTCCAGGTCTCTCTGTACTCCTGGTCATTGATCAATGGTCATGACAATTTGCATATTAATGATTATGGGGGCACTGTTAGTCAGTGGTGCTAGTGTCACTGATTATGCAAATATCATATAGGAAAAATGGCAGATTAGGTTGGGTAAAAGACCAAAGGTTGAGGCACACAACGATGTGTGCCACTGGTAAAGTTTCTGGGCTGCCCTTCCTCATAACAGCCATCCCTCAAGATTTTCTCCATTTAAAGCAATGGATTATCAGGGATTGTAACATCTAGTCCCTTTTACTGAATTAAAAAAAAAAATTCTAGCACAACTATAACCCATATTCATAAAAATACTTTTAGTAATAATACTTTACTGGCCCAAGTGCCCCTTCTAACATAAGGCTGGATGGAAAGGAAGTGTCTGGATTTCATTAAGTTTAATGACAATGCTTCACCTCTCATCCAGGAGGCTTCTTCAGTTCAAAAACAAAATTAAGAGGTTTGTTCTCCTATGTTAATGTCAGAGGTCTGAGGAGAATGGTCAAACTGCTTTGAGCTGGTAGGAAGCGAACAATAACTGGAATATCCATTTATTACAAACAAGGTAGAAGAGCATCTCTGAATGCATAACTCATCACATCTTAAAGAAGATCACACAGTACAGTACAGAGTACAATTTGAATAGAAAATGACTGGAAAATGTTGTCTACATTATTGAGACATGCAGAAATTCAGATAATAGGATCAGAATTTAATGTAAACAACATTAAGGCATGGATCCATCCTGCCATGTGTAATAAGCTCAGGCTGGTGATATAATGTGTGGAGGATATACAATGTACAATGTGTACCACATAAAATCTATAGACTTCAAGTCAGTGTTGATTTTACACACACTCCAGCCACTTTATGAGGAACAAGTTACTAGTACCAGGTTGGACCACCTTGCCTTCAAACACTTTTAATTCTTTATGGCATTGATTCAACAAGGAAACATTCCTCTGATATATATAACCACATATATATCAGTTTTGTGACATGGCACATTATCTTGCTGGAAGCAGCTATTGGAAACTGGGTACACTATGGTCATAAAGGGATGGACCAACATCTATGCAGAATATATAGTCACTTACTTCTCCTGTCTTCACCATTCTAATTCTTGATTTGAACTTTAGCAGCCCGTCTTTGCCATGTTGTTGCCATGTGATTGGCTGATTTGACATTTGTGTTACAATCAGCTGGGTAGGTGTACTTACTCTACACGTAGGAGACTGCAAATAGATAGACAGTGTTCTGAATCTGTTAACTGGGTATAATTCTGTCAATTCTTGGGAGTAATAACCATACATAGTATTGAAAACTACAATTTGAATATGGCCATTACGTATTTAAATGTAGGTTTTGCAAATGTATGTAACAGCTGCAGTGGAGCAGTGTATACAACTTGAGTAAACCTTAAGTGTGCTGACACGGCATAAAGCGAACAATCCTTTAGTTTCACCTTAGTTACAGTTTTATTCACTGACCTCTTCAGTGTTCACACATACGTTATAAACTGTATGATCATTCCTGATTACAAGCAAATGCTCTTTATTACATTACCCAACAACACCTCTTCAAAATCAGATTCTGAGCCAGAGCATTACTCTTTCTCTGCTTTTTTGGGTCAGCTTTTTTACAGGAGTGAGGAGAAAGAGCAGAACTTCCCCAGATTAAAGACCAGCACCCAGCGAATGCTTAAGCCTTTATTTACTGTATAATTTTTGCTTTCCTTCACAGTTTTACTGTGTTCACAGTCTTTTGCAGCTAGTACAGTGTCTCCTATAATACACACAAAGTAATTGTGATACATGTTATACATTAATTACGTCACACAGTCATCATATATTTTTTTAAATTGAGTTTATTCCCTTTAAAGATGCACTTTGGGATTCATTCCCTTGATCACACTGGACTAAATTCTCATTACAGACACAATGAGAATTAGATTTCCTAAAATAAAACTAGAAAATGCACATTAGGCCCTGAACACATATAAGAAGTCAAGGAGAAAAAGCATATTTTCACCTCTAATTAGGTATGTTGACAGAGGTCAGCTTCAGTGTTCTGGATAGATTTAAGCAGAAAGGTCTGACTCTTGCGGTTCAAACTGCTGGTTTGAGAGAAACTTAGGTCTGTTAACTTAAAAAATGTAAATAAACTGCAAATGAAGGCACCACTTTATCACTCCGCTCTGTTCAGTGCTTACTACTAACTCAGAGATGCTTTAGCCTGATGATTTTAGATTTAAAGCAGCAGATTTAAAATCAGAAATTGTGTTTATGTGTGTGTGTAATGACTTTTGAAAGAGCCCTGAATGTGGTGACATGACAGCAGTTCAGTATGTTCAGGTAAAAAAAATTTTAAATAATGAGCTCCGTGTGCTAAAAAGATAATATAGCTGGGTTAAAGATTAACAGTCACTGTATGAGTCGGCGCTGCAGCTCTTTTGTTTTTCAGACCTTCACCATCAAGCTCAAAATGACAGACTTTGGAGAGATTCTAAGGAACATTGGGGAATTTGGATTATTCCAGAAGATCACTCTAATTGCACTTTGCTTTCCAAACTTTGTTCAGACTTTTCTCTTTGCCAGTTTTGTTTTCATCCAATCAGATCCAGACAGACACTGCAGCACAGACTGGATCCTCACTGCTGCTCCTAACCTGACCTCAGAGGAGCAGCTCAACCTGACCGTGCCTCGGGAGGAGGATGGGACCTTCAGCAAGTGTGAGATGTTTGTCCCAGTGAGCTGGGACATTGATACTATCAGAGAGTACAGACTCAATGAGACCACAGGGTGCCAGGATGGATGGGTGTATGGGAACATGCTCTACAAAGCCACCATAGTCACTGATGTAAGTGAAATTTGTTGTTCAGTAGATCTCTCACCTCCATGAAACATTACATTAATTATTTTTTTTGTTTTATTATTGTTATTGTTATTATTATTATATTTATTTGTTTTCACAGTTTGATCTAGTGTGTGGCCAGGCCAGCTTGGTGGAAGTGATTCAAGCAGTATTCATGGCTGGAGTTCTTGTTGGTTCCCTCATGTTTGGACCTTTTGCTGAATCGTAAGTGTGCTCCTTGCAGTAGTTCATGGTTCCTTTTGCACCGAAATACAGAAATATGGCAGCTTTTTACGGAAAGGCAAGCGAATACAGTCCCTCCACTCCAATACACACACACATGAAAACATCTTCCTCCATTATTTTGCAACTTCACAAGCTCAGTCATATCAGATTAAAAAATATTGTTTGCACTAACAGTCTACACTGTACATAAACATCTTCATCTTTCTGCACTCCTTCCTGGCTGAAAAATTGTAAAATATTAATACTTCTACAGTTAAATAAATAAATATCTGCTATATTACCAAAAATAATTTACCATTAGCTGAAAAAGATGAGTGACTGAGAAATGTTTCAAACCATTCCTTTAGGAAAAGAAGCAAATCTTGAAAATACCTCTATACACATAAACCTTTATTACTGTATAATTGTGCATAAAATATTACAAGTCAAAACAATTATTCATATTTATTCTGCAGAAAACTGCATTAAATGGATGAGTTCAAAAACACAGGCCTTTTCAAAAAAGTATATTAAAATTTCCACGCTCTGTATTCTCTACATCACATGTGTTGGTCACGTTCGCAAACAGAAACCCACCTGTTACACAGATAAAGCATTGAAGCTCATTTGCTTGGTAATGCTTACTATGTTTCCATACAGAGTGTAAATTGTAATTGACCTCAAAGCAGTAAAAGCAGAGCCAGCAGCAGCTTGCCTCCCATGCTGGTTTTTCATCAGGTTACTGTCAGACCAGCTGTTTGCACACGTGCATAGCACCAGAAACCATAGCACATCTTACCAAGCTGAGGTCATTGTTAATGGAAGCCAGACGCAGCTGTAAAGCAGAGAGAGCCACAGTTTCTATGAGCAGTAAACAAGCAGAGCTTTCAGTGACAATAGGCAACTGCAGCCACAAGAGGCAAACAGTTGAGGAGCTTTATGACAAGCACTGTCATAAAGCTCCATGCATCCATCATGTCTGAGATGAAAAGTGAGTGACTGCTTTACTTTGGTACATTTTATTTATGTCTATTTTTAGGACAAGCAGAGCTTGCCTTGGTTGTCCTGACAGTGCATCACTGCTATAATTTTACACTGAATGAATAACTTTTGTCTGTTAACACATTCACAAAACAAATGTCTCTTTTAATTTGTTAGGTTTGATACCTTAGCAACAGCTTATCAAATAAATATTTTCACTAACTTCAAAAATAAATACTAATTTTGAGTCATATGCTTTGATTTGCGAATCTAATAAACCTGTATTTTTTTTCCCAATGAAACACAGAAAATATATTAAATTAATGCTATTTTAAGGAAAATATTTGCTCATTTTGCATTTGACTGCAACAACACATTTGAAAAACTTATTTTCGGCATTGCACAGAGATATCTCCAGATTCTCTGAATCTTACATTCTGACTATGAGCTGACAGTTACCAAATAAATATTATTATGTTTCTATAAAATGAATGTTCCACAATTGTGTTGGATTAGACTTAGAATGGAATCTATTATGTGTATTTCATAAATCAATAAATAATTTAAGTATGTACTCTATTGCCTTATGTTAATACTTTAATGCAGTCCGTTAAAATGCCGCTTCCCTGCATATATACCAAAACTGCACATGCAATCATGTAAATACGTTTGAGGGGACTCTGTGCAGTTCTGTGTGCGCCCGATGATTCAGCAGCCTGCAGAACCATCTTGAGGAGATAACTTGAAGAAACGTCTGTGTAGGTTTCCAGCCATCCAGCTCATAGTAACATAGTAATCATAGTGACCTTTATCTTAGTGACCTATTTATTTTTATTGTGGCTGGGTTTAAAGTGCACTGGGATGCACTGGGATGCACTGAGATGTCGTGCTTATAGAAGGTTCTCAAGAAGTGCACATCCCAGTGTCCTTCAGACCCATGCACACACTCAGACAAAAACTGGTTCATTCCAAGGACAAAACTCCCAAACCCAAACTAAACAACGTAGTATGTGCTGTGCAGTGCAGCAAGGAGTGCTCAGACCTCTACACAGGAAAAACCACAGAGCCACTTGACAAACCCATGGCACAACATAGAAGAGCCACCTCTACAGGACGAGACTGAGCTGTACATCTGCATCTAAAGGACCAAGACACATGGTTTGAAAGAGGAATGAAAGAAGCCACCTATGTCCACTGTGAATGACCATCTTTGAACAGAGGGGGTGGCTTACTGCACCAATTCTCTGCTAGCTACAATCCAGTTTTGAGATCCCTTCCCAGGTGCCTTAATGCCAACTCAAATCTTGCGTCAGTTGATCTCAATAGGTCACATGATAGGATGAGGCAAGGTCTCACATGGTTTCATCCAAAACCTCTGCTGATAATGACACCACACTCTTTTTTACACCTCAGCTCATTTGCTGAGGCACGTGATCAATAATGGGTCAACGACCCCCTTAATTTACAACTCCCACTAAGGCCTAAAATCTGGGACTCTCCACCATTCGCTCTTAGAACTGAAGAAGAGAGGTCAAACATCAGGTTGAGGTCTGACTGGGCCATTGCAGCACCTTGATTCTTTTCTTTTTCAGTCATTCTGTTGTAGATTTGCTTCTGTGCTTGGGATCATTGTTGTGTTGCATGACTATTTCAGCCAAGCTTTAGCTGTTGGACAGCTGTTGCCCTCCCGTTTGACTCAAGAATGCTTTGGTATGGAGAAAGATTCATGGTTGTATCAACGATTGCAAGATGGCCAAATGCTGTGGCTACAAAACAATCATCGTCACTCCTCCACCGCTGTGCTTGACAGATCGTACGAGGTGTTTGTGCATGTGTGCTGTGTTTTTGTTTTGTTTTGTTTTGTTTTGTTTTGTTTTGTTTTGTTTTGTTTTGTTTTGTTTTGTTTTGTTTTGTTTTGTTTTGTTTTTTGGGGGGGGGGGGGTAGACAGTAGACAGGATAGACCGTTATGAAGCGCCTTGAGGCGACTTTTGTTGTGGTTTGGCGCTATATAAATAAAATTGAATTGAATTGAATTGAACGGGAAAGAGAGAAGGGGAAAAGGGGAAGACATGCAGCAAGGTCACCCTCAAAGGTCACACTCAAACCCAGGCTGCTGTATTTTTAGCCATAAGACAACCAGTGTGCTAAACTGCCTCCTGTTTCAAAGGTCTTGTAGTTTTATTCAAATATAACTTTGCAAATATAAGAAGCTTATCTCTTAGCTCTGGTTCCCTACCATAGTGGTTTTATTTCTTCATTCAGCTGCCCCTGTCAAGCAGTGTAAGTAATTTAATGTTGTGTTCTGTGTGTTTTATGTGTAATTTATTAGTTTGTTTTTATATGTTGCATATTTGTGTTGTTTGCATGCTTTTATTCTAGTCACTCATGACCCTCTCCAATTAAAGGAATGTCTTGTACCTCTATAGGCCAGTAAAAAACTCGAGATATGGCCAGTACAGCGAGAGACTCCAACATGACTGCACAGAGTCCCATAAAAAACTATTTTTACATGATTGCATTACTGTTATCTCTGTAATGATGCTACATTAACCAGCAGCTCTTGTGATTTAGTGTGCTTAGTATCATAACAGAAGCTAATGTATCCCTGTGTGTTTGTCTTGGTGTTTCAGGTTCGGCCGCAAACGAGCAACTCAGATTCCAGCAGTTCTGTTGTCTGTATTCACCGTGACAACAGCTCTCTGTCCCAACGTCTACTTATATTTAGTATCTCTGTTTCTGGTGGGATTTGGAGCTGGAGGATATCGAGTCAACAGCATCATACTATGTATGAAGAGTACACTAACTTTGCACAAACTTTGCAACTAACAATCGTTGTAACTGTAAAATAATCTGCCACTTGTTCTCTCAATAGCTAAGATGATGTTCTTGTAATGTTTTAGAGGTCCAGCAAGGCTGTACTGATCTGATATTTTCCAAATTTTTTCCAATTTTCTCAAATTTTCCATTTACACTTTCTACTTCCACCTCTTCCCATTTATTATTTTTATTGTTACTTTTATCTTACTGTTGCCTTTGTGACCGTTTTACATATTTACATTTACATACGAGACAAAAGATGTACTCTGCTGGCTCTCGGAGGAGGCGGACGCACTTTTTCTCCTCTCCTCTCCCTTATCTTCCCTGCTTAGTTCTTATGTCCTTGTCTAGTCTCGTGTTTTTTGTATTACTTTCCCTGGTAAACTGGTCTCTGAATGCTATTGACACCCTTTTCTCAACGAGAAGTCTGGGCTCGGGAGAGCCCGAGTGCCCTGGAGGGACTTTCCCCGCTGGATACACGATGGACGGGTGGCAGACATGGAGGGTCATGTGCCTGGCGGGACTGTCAATCAAGGACGCTGAAGATATCTACGTATTCGGAACCATGATAACAGGGTTCTTGCTGATCGGAGCTGGCTTATCAGAGAATTAAGAAAGCGGAACTGGCTGTTCAAACCCCCCCAAGGCTGCCCGCTGGGATTGAAATGATGGGACGAGGCGCAACTTCTCAGAATGGGCTCACTGACTGCAGCATGGATAAGATCTTGGAGAAGCTTGTGGCTGCCGTGAATACTCAGAACAACACCTCTGAGTAGAAGTTGGATTACATCTTGGAACAGCTGACTGCAGTCGTGAGTTTTCAGAATCTGCTCTTTGAGCAAAAGAATGACAGGACCAGGGAACTGAAGGTTAATAACATCATGGAGAAACTCGCGGCTATCCAACGGGAGATTGAGAGACCAGTGTCGGAGTGTTAAAGAACAGCTTGAAATTCTCATGAGTTGTTGCAAATGAAAAATTACCATCATAATCCGGCTACCCCTTCGGCGCCAGCTGTGGGCTCAAGGCTGAAGCTGAACAAAAACTCCCTGATAACGACTGTGTTGAGTCTGTTCCTTCTCATTCCATGCAAGGCCACCTGGGTTAGCTGGAAGACTGTTTACTTAGCCTGGCAGGGCGAAGGACACTGTCTCAGCTGAACTATAGACACGCACACACATACATATACTGATACTGATAAGCACTCACTGACGCATCACCCTCCCTACCCGGATCCAACGCCACCTCCAACGCTTACCTCCCCTCTGATGTGGACATCGGGTCAGCTGGAGGCGCAGTCGAAGATTGCAGCGGTCCCAGATCAGATGTACACACTGGAACACTTTCCCATGTTGCTTGTCTGTGTTTATTGTGCTATGGTGTGTTGATATCTGTGCATTCCTGTATTATCCTTTTGTGTTACACCTTTCGATGTTTTTTTCCTCGCTACCTAGCCTGACCTGTCTCCCCAATGTGATGTTTGTGTATTGTATGTACGGTCAGCAAGGTCTGTCATCTTGGTTGTGGGTTAAAGACCTGCAACTGACAAATAAAGGCTATCTCATCTCATCATCATCTCATCATCATAATCAGTTTCTAAACATAAAGATGTTGGACAAAGGACAAAGACACATTTATGTAATTTTGTGTCCACCTTTCTACAGGGGGTTTTGTCTTCAACTAAACACATACTTGAGAAACTCTTGGGTTGTTGTTGGTTGGTTTGGGTCATTATCCATTCACACTGAGATGTTCTGTCTGATTAGGTATAAAACAGTAATAGAAAAATATATGTACAGTCAGCCGAGATATTCATAGCAGCTGATGTGCAATGTTTTTACTTATTTTTGTTGTTATGTATTTATTTTGTTCCATTTGAGCTGAGGTCTTAATCTAAAATAAACAAACAATTAACATATTTTCCTTATTGCAGCCACTGAATGGATTGGGACGTCCAAAAGATCATGGGGAGCTTGTGTGACTCAGCTGTTTAGTGCAATTGGAGAGTGCGTCCTCGCTGGTATGATCTATGGCATCCGAAACTGGAGACTGGCTCAGCTGATCACAGCAGTTCCGCTTGCAGTGCTTATTATCTACATATGGTGTGTATTTCACTCTATTTATTGAGTTATTTATACATTTCAAAATGTCTGTTTGTTTGAAGTTCAATTTTCTTCCTATCAGGTTTATTCCAGAGTCAGCCAGGTGGCTGTTAAGCAGAGGCAGAAAAGAAGAAGCCAAACAGCTCATTGTCAAAGCAGCAGCCATTAACAAACACCCTGTGTCAGAGTCTCTTCTGGACAAGGTAGTGAATCACATTCATCAGGGAAGTTTTCAAGAACATCGATGACATCTGTAAAATACCTCAAAATAAGTGTGTTATATTCAGAGATGGGCAGTAACGGGTTACTGTAATCTGATTACTTTTTCAAGCAATAAGTAAAGAAAGGGATTTCTATTGCAAAAAAAAGTAATTCGATTTCTGTTACTTTCCCGTAAGCACGCTGCGTTACTAAACAGTGATTTTATTTGTGAGAGTGTCTCACGACATTGACGTGCGAGCGTACGACATCCGTTGCAGCAACAGACATGTGTAGATCAACAATGCGAGCTAGAGTACGACCGTGCAGCGTTTAAAGCGTGGATGTCCTGACATTACTTTTAGCTTCATTCCATAAAAAATGACAAAAACATTAGCGACCACTGTTCACTCTGCGTGGGAAGACAACTTCTTTCTACAGCGAAAAATTAAACTTCAAATCTGTGCAAGCACCGAGCACCCTGCCACAGGAGTGTGAAATTCACAGAGAAATCCCCAGATCCCCCCACTGACATGACCGCTGCAGCACTGGCCAAACCTCCACCGGCCCCACTCCTGCTAAACAGGTGACAATCGATTTAAGAACGACAGGACTTAGTGCTGCCGAACCTTTGACTTTATTTATTTCTTGCTGTTTTTTACTTGCATCTATTTGAAAGAGTAAGTGTAAACACAAACAATTATTTCATTTTACATGCTGGAATATGCAGAAAATAAGTTTAAAAGTTAAACAATTTATTCAAATCAAAGACTGTTGCATATAATTTAATTTTTGCTTGATGCAATGTGCATAAAGTTAAAAGATTAAAACTAATAAAACAAGTTTTAAAAAGAGAATTTTTTCATTTGATTCCATTTTTTATGATGGATTATGCAGAAAAAGTAGAACAGGGCCGAAAGGTCTATTGCTTTATAATGTATTGAGGTTGTGTATCATGTTTTTAACAAGTAACTAAGTAATAGAGTAACTAATTACTTTTGAAAATAAGTAATCAGCAAAGTAACGGAATTACTTTCTTGGAGAAGTAGTCAGTAATTAGTAACTAATTACTATTTTCAAGTAAATTGACCAACACTGGTTAGATTTGGTACCATGCCTGGTATTCTTTTAATTATTTTTCAATAAAGTTTGCACAGGCTTTCTTATAATGGACTTTTATGCCATTTTCATCAAGATGGCAATAACCTCTGACTACTAAAGAGTCAGTCCTCCACTATTACTCATGCAAACGGTGGTGGTGGTGTGTCTAAAGGTTTTTAAGCTCTGCCTCTGCCCCTCCACCCAGTGACATTAAACTGTCCCTGGTGTTTTTTGCGTAATGTTGCTAATCAAATAAACAAATTGAGTAAGGAAAGTAGAGTCATGAATAGAGAAGACATTATGTTCATTATTCAACATATTAAGGACAAGAGATATGGATTTAGGCAACACAGTGACTCTGTATGTTCTGCCCGTGTCTGTTTGACTTCCTCCCACAGTCTAAAGACATGCATGTTAGGGTAATTGCTCACTCTAAATTTGCAGAAGGTGTAAACGGTGTTGATGTCGATGGGTTAGGCCTAGAGTGGTGACCTGATCAATGTGTATTTGGTTTTTTTTGTGCTAAATTTGCTAAAAGAAATTCTACCTTGATTCAAAGTAATACCACTGGAGGCATAACAAATCTCCATTATTATCAGTAGTATTAAAATGGTGTTATGATAAACATTATGTCTCCCACAGATTGAAGTGAATAACTCTGTGAATAACGAAGGAATAAAAATCATCTTCAAATCATCACTGCTGACCAGATATTTCTTTATTATAATACTGTCATGGTAAGTTCAACATCTATAGTGAGGTTAATACATTAAAGGGAAATATTTCAATGCAAAAACATGTCGCTGTTTTTAAATTGTAAGATTTTGACTTTTGAATTTGATGTTTTGATGATTAAATGGCCATTCATAAATGTGTTATAAATGGTTCATGATACAGGACTTTTGTGTCTGATTAAATGTGTTTCTCTTCTCTTTTAAAGGTTTTCCGTGAATCTTTCCATCTACAGTTTGTACTTAGACATGGAAAGCTTTGGTTTGAGCATCTTTGTAACCCAACTCCTTTATGGTGTTTTTGAAGTACCATCTGTTTTACTCTCCATGTGGCTGCTGGATATTTTTGGGAGGAAAATATTATTCATAGCAACCCTTCTGATCGGAGGAGTCTCTTCCATACTTATCCTCGCTGTTCCTGATAGTAAAAGCTTAGTTATATCACAAAATACATTTTATTTTTGTCTGATTATCATGTTTATGTTCACTTTTATTAATTATTTATTTCATTATGTCAGGTTACGCCATTTCTGTCACATCTTTAGCTGTTGCGTCTCGTTTTTTCTTGATATGGGCTGGCTCTATTTGTATGGTCTTTATGCAGGAGTTGTTTCCAACATCGGTTAGGTAAGCAGTCACAGTTTTTATTCATGTTTGTGAACAACTTGTGTGAAAAGAACGCTGAAAAAAAAAGACCAACTTAGTGAGTATACCTTTTGTCCTCCTGTTTCAGACAAACAGCCACATCTTTAGGATCCATATCAGCAAGATTAGGTGGATTACTGGCTCCACTGCTGAACTTGTTGGCCATGTACCACTCGGTCATACCCATCACAGTCTTCAGCTGCCTTACGTTGATAGGTGGATTTCTCGGCTTCTTGCTTCCCGAAACCAAAAGAAAGGAGCTTCCTGAGACGACTGAAGAGGCTGAGCGCAATGGGTATCAGTGTTTAACTACTGCAGCATTTCAAACATGTTATTTTGTCAATGATCGTTTCTTCATCTGTTTCTGTTTTATGTCTTTCAGACAAGTTAGTCCCACAAGAAGAACAACTACCAGTCCACATTCATATTCAACCAAGATGTAGATGTTTTTGTACGGATTTCATCTTTACAAATATGTGATGTATTTAAATGAACCACAACCTCAGTCATCATGTTCTATAGACGTCCCTGGTTCTGGACTCAGGGTCTGAAGATACATCTGAGGAGACCGCAGTCTTAATAAGTTATCATTTTGTTAACACTTTAGTTTTTAGACAGTGTAACTTTGGCTAACTTTCTGCAGTACAAAGAACCAAGTGTAATAATAAGTGATTAAATAAACACTGTTTCCATCACCTTGAAAAAATTAAACACTATTCCCACTACTTGTTTCCCATTAACTGCTGCAGCATCACATTCTGAAAGCAACCCTGCTGTTATTCTATCATGTGTTTAACTTTGTGAAGGTGAATCTTAATCCAAACTATGATCTTTTCATAAATGTCACCAAGTAGTTTGTGTGCATAATTATAATTATAATAATCATTCTCAGCATTAGAAACTATTTTGGGTGATTATTTTGAAATATTGTGCAAACACATGACCAGTGAAAAGACCTGAAGGAGCAACAATCACTCATTGCTCACTACATGATGGGAAGGTCCCAGCAACCTAGCCCTTCTGCATCATAGCTAAGTGAAGGCTCAGTGTCACCTGATCCAGCCTTAACTATGAGCTGCATCAAAAAGGAATGTTTTAATGCTAAGTAGAGAGGGTGTGTGTCTGCTGAATGCAAACTGGGAGCTGGTTCCACAGAATAGCGGCCTGAAAGCTAAAGGCACTGCCTCCCATTCTGCTTTATGTCCTAGGAGCCACAAGTAGGCCAGTAGTATGAGGGCAAAGTGCTCTATTGGGATGGTGTGGTAGTATGAGGTCTTTAAGATTACTTAAGACCGATTCTCTAGTCCCTGTCAGTACTCTCACTGCTCACTGCAGCACTTTGTTTCCCGAAGCCAACTGATGGCTTTTTAGGAGACCCTGATAACTTACTGATGTAAGTTACTTCTAGTCCAGCCTAGAAGTAATAAATTAATGAACTAGTTTTTCATCATCACTCTTAAAGAGGATCTTTCTAATTTTAGAGGTATTGCACAAATCACTGCATTACTGCAGTTTAAACTAATTGGTGTGTGTAATCTGGATTCATGGATATGTAAAGCTGGTATCATTGGCATAATAATGAAAATGTAAATTATGTCTTCTAATAATACTTCCTAAGTGAAACATGTATAATATAAACAGAACTGCACAGAATCCTGTGGAACTCCATAATGCGAGGAAGAATTTGAGATTAAAAAAAAAAACGTTGGAGATTAGCCTATAATTATCTAAGACAGCTGGGGCACGTGATGCGTTTTTAAGCAACGGTTTAATTAATGACACCCTCAACGCCATTGGGATGAGGGTGGGCCATGTCATATCATTCACAAAAATACAGGTAATTTTTTTTTTTTGATATCATGATATTTCATGGTGTAAACACATCACCCCCATCACACAGTGGATTACAGTCACGTGGGTCATGCAGCATGAAGTTATTAAAGTTGTTAAGGTGAAGAAAACGTTATGGCTGAAGATTTAATTCACAAAAGCGCAGCTCTTCAGTGTTGTTTAATTATTTTGGATACAAACGAGGAGCTACAGAACAAACTACAATAATATGTAAGGAGTGCACGAAGGCTATAATATCTAAAGGGGAAATCCCTCTAATTTATTTCACAATCTCAAGCATCAACACCTGATTCTAGTAAAGAGCCAGGCAATCAAAGAATGAGCAGTCAGCGAAACTGTATCATTACTGCGTGGTCAGTAGAATCAGAAACACCACCACAAGCTTCAAGATCAGCTGAAGACAACCTGGGCCAAAGCGCAAAGTTGCCAAAGAAGACCCTTGGAAGCTTTTTTAAGAGGGTAGCAGCAAGGACTGGGACCATCTCCAAGGGACAGGCAGAGTTAAAAACGACCTAGATTGTCCCCCAGCAGATGGTGACAATGATCCCCTCAAATGGAAAGTGCACGAGGTTAACTGTCCTCAGGTCAGTCATTTGGCAAAAAAGTACTTGTGCATCCAAGCCACAAAGTGCAGCCTCTGATAGGTTGTTCAGCACAGAAGAGAACATTGTCACCTGTAATAGGCCTGCTCAGTTACAGTTTTTTCTGAATGCTTAAACCCTAACTGTGATTCCTGTAGCACAATCTCTAAAACTATTCAGACTTATAGCAAAACCACTCACTGAGTTTGCAAAACTAAAAGCACAAAAACTGCTTTGCACTCAGTTTGCAATTTTGTAACACACACTTTGCACAACTGTAGGCACAATTCACTGCACAACACTCAATTACCAAATTTCCAACACACTCCTAGCAAAAGTATACACATGTATGGCTATCATTAACACTAATTTGCCAACTGTCTGGCACACTTTCACATGTGAAAACTTTTTTAGATAATTAGTTCACTTTGCAATCAGCCTAAGCACTATAATACAGGTAAGCTGTGTGTGCGGAGTACAATGGAGGGAGCAGAAAGAGTGAGAAGTAGAGGAGGCCGAGGAAGAGGACGTGGAGGTGAAGAAGTAGGATGAAGAGGACGACAAGGACAAGGAGGAGCAAGAGGAAGACGAGGAGGAGGGAGAGGAAGATGAGGAGGGGGAGAGGAAGGGTAGGAAGAGTAAGAAATAGAATTGCTGATGACATCAGAGCTACAATAGTGGACCATGTAATCAACCGTGGAATGACCCTGAGGGTAGCTGGCCAACGGGTCCAGCCTAACTCGAGCCGCTACACTGTAGCAAGTACCATAAGGACATCTTGAAATGAGAATCGGTTAGTACAGTCACTTCACACAAAGATTTGTAGCACTGCCATATGCCAATGAGAAACACACCAATACCATTGATGTAAAAATACTGAAATTGTTACTTTACAGAATTGCTAGATGACCAGATGCTGGGGGCAGAGGAAGCATGTTCACTGCAGACCAAGTAACCCATATAGTCATTATGGCGATTGCAAATAATCCTATACTTGGAAATAACCACTTGTGTTTGTTTTGATGTGTTTGAATAAACACCAGTACTTGAAGTTTGGATCCCTCTATGCTTATGGATCTATGACAGAAGTATGAGCTCAAACTGACATAGCCTACCTTGTGCACAGAGAAAGCAAAGGCCAGATGTGTTTTGTATTCATACCATCAGTGTGTAGTTGGCGCATTGTGTGCTTAGTAGATGATGGCTTGTGTGTACTGTTTGATACGGAAACACCATTTTTACGAAGGTGTGAAGAGTTAATCTAGCTGTGTTTGCTTTTGCAAGAGAACTACAATGTTTTGATGATTGGGTGACAGGTTTTCTTATTTGTGTGAAGAGTTTTGCAAAATTAGCCAATAGTTACAAAAAATGTGCTTAAGCAATCAGAAAAAACTGTAAAAGCAACTTATTTTTTTGTTTGATTGTTTATGCTCAAAAGATTTGAGAATTATTCATTTTATTTTTCTAAACGGCACTTTTTTGTGGTGGATTTTATTTTATTCTTTTAGTATTTATGTTTTATACAAACTTTTTCAATCCAAAGAACAGAGGGAGAATTTTTATTTTTATACTTTAAGACTGAATACATTAAAGTTACCTGTGTAATTTAGCTATGTTTTTCTTTTTATAGAATATAAAAATATACCTGTTATGTTTAATTTGTCAAATTAATAACTTTTTCTGTATTTTGTCATATCGTCAAATTTATCGTTATCATGAGAATACTCTGAAATATCGTGATATTATGTTTGGGCCATATCATCCATCCCTAATGTCATATCTAGCCCATTTGCCAATGTGTCTTAACAAGAAGCTGAGTAAGCGTACATAATAAAGTGGTCATTGAGTGTTTATGTTCTGCATATTGTGCAAGACTGAAACAAGAGGGATTTCTGAACCTTTTAATTGGGTATAAATCAGTCACATTTTTGTGAATATATCCACACAAACCGTAGAAACACCTCCATTAGAAACACATCCATTACACATTTAAATGTCTGTTTTGCAAATGTATTCCTGGATAAACTGAGAATGTTTATAGCTGCTATTGAGTAATGTATACAACTGGAGTTTATACCTTGAGTGTGCTAACACTGCGAAAAGCAAACAATCCTTTAGTTTTTCCTTAGTTACATTTTTACTCATTAATCCCTTTACTGTTCAGGCATAAATTATAAACTATATGATCTTTTTTGATTGCAGGCAAACATTGTTACATCATCTCTTTTGACTTGCAGTATTACTTGTCTCTCTTTCTCTGCTTTTTTGTGTCAGCTATTTTGATTACACACCACTAAGAGACTTAGCTCTGTTTACTGCTTATTGCCGACTCAGATATTCTGCAGCCTAATGAACTTACATATTTACAGCAGCAGACTTAAAATCAACAATAGGTTGGGCTTGTGTGTGTGTGTGTGTGTGTGTGTGTGTGTGTGTGTGTGTGTGTGTGTGTGTGTGTGTGTGTGTGTGTGTGTGTGTGTGTGTGTGTGTGATGACTTTTGAAACAGCACTAAAAGAAATGATCAGATTGTAAGCATATAGATAAGTGATAAGAGTTTTTACACAGTTGTATAAAGGATATACGAATGTGCTGACATGACAGCAGTTCAGTACCTTCAAGTAAGAACAATTAAAATAAAGGGTCTTGTGTGCTAAAAAGATAATATAGCTGGGTTAAAGATTAACAGTCACTGTATGAGTCGGCGCTGCAGCTCTTTTGTTTTTCAGACCTTCACCATCAAGCTCAAAATGACAGACTTTGGAGAGATTCTAAGGAACATTGGGGAATTTGGATTATTCCAGAAGATCACTCTAATTGCACTTTGCTTTCCAAACTTTGTTCAGACTTTTCTCTTTGCCAGTTTTGTTTTCATCCAATCAGATCCAGACAGACACTGCAGCACAGACTGGATCCTCAGTGCTGCTCCTAACCTGACCTCAGAGGAGCAGCTCAACCTGACCGTGCCTCGGGAGGAGGATGGGACCTTCAGCAAGTGTGAGATGTTTGTCCCAGTGAGCTGGGACATTGATACTATCAGAGAGTACAGACTCAATGAGACCACAGGGTGCCAGGATGGATGGGTGTATGGGAACATGCTCTATAAAGCCACCATAGTCACTGATGTAAGTGAAATTTGTTGTTCAGTAGATCTCTCACCTCCATGAAACATTACATTAATTATTTTGTTTGTCTGTTTTATTATTATTATTATTATTATTATTACAAATACTCACAGTTTGATCTAGTGTGTGGCCAGGCCAGCTTGGTGGAAGTGATTCAAGCAATGTTCATGGCTGGAGTTCTTGTTGGTTCTCTCGTATTTGGACCTTTTGCTGAATCGTAAGTGTGCTCCTTGCAGTAGTTCATTGTTCCAAAATACAGAAATACTTTAATACAATTTCACAGGGAATGAATAACTTTTGTCTTTCAGCACCTTTACAAAACAAATGTTTGCTTCTCTATCTTAGCAACAGCTAACCAAAGAATTTTTACAATTTTTCAAAGTTTAACAACAAATAGACGTGTGAAGAGTTTGCTGTACACACTCTTCAAGATTTCAACAAACTAAATGTTACCTAATAATTAGTCAGCATTAAAGATATATGTATCTCAAAATATAAAACTATATTTCTACAAACCCAATTCCAAAGAGTTGGGACAGTGTGTAAAATCTGAGTAGAAACAGAATGGAATATTTTTCAAATAAACCCATATTTTCCTGATGTGCTGATGTTAAATTAGACTTACAATGAAATCTGTATGAAGTCAGTATTCCATATGCGTTTCTATAGATCTTTAATGTAGTATGTTAAAGGGTTGCTTCCCTACATACATAACAAAACTGCAAATACAGTCATCTGAAAAGAGAGTTTTTAGAGGACTGTTGTGTAGTCTCTGTGCAGTCCTGTGAAAAAAATAACTTGCTTTGGCAGCAATTCCCCAGATTGATGCTGAGGGAAATCTAGGTGCACTCAAAAAAATGAAACTGGGTGGTTGTTACATTAACAAGATTCAAACTTGTTGTTTCTATGGTTAATGATTAAATCATGCAGGGTTTGCATGAAATTCAGCAACTTAATTTATTCTTGTTGAGATGACATAATACAATCTAGTTAGAGTGGTTAGTTGACTGAACTAACAAAATTCACAAGATCATACACGATTTCAAACCACAGGAAAATCACTGGGGTAATAAGAGGCAGACAATCGTACACACACCACATATGTGCTGTTGCTATTTATTGTGGTTTAACCTGTCGAGGACAAAAACGTACAGAAAATTCTGTATCACGCCTTATAATCATAACCTTCCTATTTTTGTAAGTCTCACTTCACAGCTTGGTGGCGCAGTGATTAACACTGTTGCCTCACACAGCAAGAAGGTCCTGGGTTCAAAACCACTATCTGGTCAAGTTTGCAGTGGGTTCTGCCTGGGTACTCTGGTTTCCTCCCACAGTTGAAAGTCATGCAGTTATTAGGGTCACATTAACTGGTTCTTCTTGTGTAAATGGTTGTCTGTCTCTATGTGATAGTGCAGTTGATTAACAGCACTTGCTATTTACCCTCCTCAGTGTTACTGAAACATGGGGTGTGGCTTTTCACAGGACTGCCCGTGAAAAAACTCTATTTTTACATGATTGCATTACTGTTATCTCTTTAATGGCACAACATTAACCCGCAGCTCTTGTGATCAGTGTTAGGAAGGTTACTTTTAAAATGTATTCCACTACAGATTACAGAATACATGCCCCAAAATGTATTTTGTAACATATTCCGTTGCGTTAGTCAATGAGAGTAACGTATTCTCAATACTTTGGATTACTTAATATATTATCAAGCGTTTTACAACTACATGAATGTACTATTGCTGTGTGATTTATTACTATTACTGAAGGTTACTTGCCATACAAACACCTAATTTTAAAAAATATTTCTTTCACATCATTATGCGGGCTGCATGTAGAGGTGACATGGGCCGCGAGATTGAGACACAGGCATTAGAGCCTCTTAATGCGTGTTTTGTTTGGGTTTCCACTGGCGTGGAGTTACCAACAAGAGAGAGGGGACAGCCTAACATATGAAACACGAAAAGACTGCCGTGTAATCCCTTTATTTCAACAAAGTAACTGTATTCTGAATACCACCTTTTAAAACGGTAACTGTAACAGAATACATCGATCGAGGACGCTGAAGATATCTACCTATTCAGAACCATGATAACAGGGTTCTTGCTGATCGGAGCTGGCTTGGCCCTGGCTTATTGGAGAAATAAGAGAGCGGAACCGGCTGTTCAAACCCCCCCAAGGCTGCCCGCTGGAATCGAAGCGATGGGACGAGGCGCGACCTCTCACAATGAACGTAATATGGTTAACACCTTGGAGATGCTTACAGCTGCTGTGAAGGCTCAAAACAACACCACTGAGCGTATGGGGGGATACATCAGAGAGAGGCCTGCTCAAAATGAGACCCTTGAGTTGGAACACATCGCGGAACGGATCACTGCAGTTGTGAGGTCTCAGAATCAAAAGAATGACAACACCACGGAACAGAAGTTTGATACCATCATGGGGAGGCTCGCGGCTCTCCCATTTCACTGCAGGGCAACCTGCTTGTGACAAATAAAGCTGATTCTGATTCTGATAAATACGTAACAGCGGGTCATGTATTCCGTTACTCCCCAACGCTGCTTGTGATTTACATAACAGAAGCTAATGTATCTCTGTGTGTTTGTCTTGGTGTTTCAGATTCGGCCGCAAACGAGCAACTCAGATTCCAGCAGTTCTGTTGTCTGTATTCACCGTGACAACAGCTCTCTGTCCCAACGTCTACTTATATTTAGTATCTCTGTTTCTGGTGGGATTTGGAGCTGGAGGATATCGAGTCAACAGCATCATACTATGTATGAAGAGTACACTAACTTTTTACATCTTCTGGACAAGGCTACAACTAACAGTAGTTTTCATTGTAAAATAATCTGCCAGTTGTTCTCTCAATGGCTAAGATGATGTTCTTATAATGTTTTAGAGGTCCAACAAGGCTGTACTGATCTGATATTTTCCATTCAAACTTTCTACTTCCACCTCTTCCCATTTATTATTTTTATTGTTACTTTTATCTTACTGTTGCCTTTGTGACCGTTTTACATATTTACATTTACATAAGAGACAAAAGATAATCAGTTTCTAAACATAAAGATGTTGGACAAAGGACAAAGACACATTTATGTAATTTTGTGTCCACCTTTCTACAGGGGGTTTTGTCTTCAACTAAACACATACTTGAGAAACTCTTGGGTTGTTGTTGGTTGGTTTGGGTCATTATCCATTCACACTGAGATGTTCTGTCTGATTAGGTATTAAATAGTAATAGAAAAATATATGTACAGTCAGCCGAGATATTCATAGCAGCTGATGTGCAATGTTTTTACTTATTTTTGTTGTTATGTATTTATTTTGTTCCATTTGAGCTGAGGTCTTAATCTAAAATAAACAAACAATTAACATATTTTCCTTATTGCAGCCACTGAATGGATTGGGATGTCCAAAAGATCATGGGGAGCTTGTGTGACTCAGCTGTTTAGTGCAATTGGAGAGTGCGTCCTCGCTGGTATGATCTATGGCATCCGAAACTGGAGACTGGCTCAGCTGATCACAGCAGTTCCGCTTGCAGTGCTTATTATCTACATATGGTGTGTATTTCACTCTATTTATTGAGTTATTTATACATTTCAAAATGTCTGTTTGTTTGAAGTTCAATTTTCTTCCTATCAGGTTTATTCCAGAGTCAGCCAGGTGGCTGTTAAGCAGAGGCAGAAAAGAAGAAGCCAAACAGCTCATTGTCAAAGCAGCAGCCATTAACAAACACCCTGTGTCAGAGTCTCTTCTGGACAAGGTAGTGAATCACATTCATCAGGGGAGGAGTTTTCAAGAACATCGATGACACCTGTAAAATAGCTGTTTATTTGTTATGTTTACTATTCAACATATTCATGACAAGAGATGTATCTATGTATTAGCCCTGCAATAGAATGGGGACCTGGTCAGGGTGTCTCTCACTGTATGTAATGTCAACCCTGAACTGGAACTGGAAAAAACTAGACTGATGGATTCATTTCAAGTCCTTTTTCTTAATTTGCTATGATGGTGTTACAGCAAGCGTGACTTCTCCCACAGATTGAAGTGAATAACTCTGTGAATAACAGAGGAATAAAAATCCTCTTCAGATCATCACTGCTGACCAGATATTTCTTTATTATAATACTGTCATGGTAAGTTCAACATCTATAGTGAGGTTAATACATTAAAAGGGAAATATTTCAATGCAAAAACATGTTGCTGTTTTTAAATGCTAAGATTGGCAATTTGATGTTTTGATGATTAAATGGCCATTCATAAATATGTTATAAATGATACAGGACTTTTGTGTCTGATTAAATGTGTTTCTCTTCTCTTTTAAAGGTTTTCCGTGAATCTTTCCATCTACAGTTTGTACTTAGACATGCAAAACTTTGGTTTGAGCATCTTTGTAACCCAACTCCTTTATGGTGTTTTTGAAGTACCATCTGTTTTACTCTCCATGTGGCTGCTGGAGATTTTGGGGAGGAAAATATTATTCATAGCAACCCTTCTGATCGGAGGAGTCTCTTCCATACTTATCCTAGCTGTTCCTGATGGTAAAAGCTTTGTTATATCGCAAAATACATTTTCAATTGTCTGCTTATCATGTTTACGTTCACTTTTATTAATTATTTATTTCATTATGTCAGGTTACGCCATTTCTGTCACATCTTTAGCTGTTGCGTCTCGTTTTTTCTTGATATGGGCTGGCTCTGTTTGTATGGTCTTTATGCAGGAGTTGTTTCCAACATCGGTTAGGTAAGCAGTCACAGTTTTTATTCATGTTTGTGAACAATACCCTGACTTGTGTGAAAAGAACACACGGGAGGAATTAGTGAGTATACCATTTGTCTTCCTGTTTCAGACAAACAGCCACAGCTTTAGGATCCATATCAGCAAGATTAGGTGGATTACTGGCTCCACTGCTGAACTTGTTGGCCATGTACCACTCGGTCATACCCATCACAGTCTTCAGCTGCCTTACGTTGATAGGTGGATTTCTCGGCTTCTTGCTTCCCGAAACCAAAAGAAAAGAGCTTCCTGAGACGACTGAAGAGGCTGAGCGCAATGGGTATCAGTGTTTAACTACTGCAGCATTTCAAACATGTTATTTTGTCAGTCATCATTTTTTTCATCTGTTTCTGCTTAATATCTTTCAGACAAGTTAGTTCCACAAGAAGAACAACTACCAGTCCACATTCATATTCAACCAAGATGTAGATGTTTG